AATAGTAATAATAGTAATAATAATAATAAAAATAATAATAATGATGATAATAATAATAAATATTATAATAATAAATGTATAATAATATAATTATTTATTTATAATATATAATTATATTTTTATATAACATATAATTATATAATAATAATTAATTATATAATATAATAATATTAATATTATTATTATTATCATTATTATTATTATTATTATTATTATTATTATTAAAATTTATGAATTATAACGCGCCAATTATTATATTATCATGATCATCATCATCATCATTATCTTCGTCATCATCAGCATCAGCATCAGCATCATCATCTCTTAGGAATTTTGTAAATATAGATTAAAGATAAAATATTGTCAATATTATTATGTTATACAGTGACAGACAGAGGATCAATAAGGATATATATTGAAAAAGAAAACACACAATGCGTTTTACATATTATATATTTACCCTTTTTTTAAAATGAAGGTTTAGTCAAGTTTCTCTATCCTATTCACAATTGAAGGATCTACGAAAGAATGGAAAGAATGGTTTCTTCTGAAAGTAAGTTTCATCACAGTAGGAAGTTTCATCTTTTAAGAAACGAAACAAGATAATTCTATTGACGTTTTGCCTTTTAAATGGTCACTCTTGTAAATCTTTATTTTTTATTGTATTTCTTTTCCTTTTTTCTTTTTTTTTCTTTCTTTCATTCATTCTTCTTTCTCAAATTACATCTGTCAAAGAGATAGGGTTGTTCGTTCGACATTTTTATTTTTATTTATTTTTTGTGTGTGTTAAGGAATTCATTTTATGCAAAACATTTTTAGATAAATCAATCTGTTTTTTTTCTCTTTTTTTTTTTCTTAAGAATGTAGCAATAAAAATTCTCTAAAAAAAAAAAAAAAAAAAAAAGAATATGGAAGCAAATGATTTGAAATTTTTATTATTCTAATGAAAAAAAAAAAAAAAAAAAAAAAAAACATAAATTTTGCTATTATATTATTTGAAATTTTTTTTTCTACCTTTGTGAAATATATAATAAAATGGCGCAATATTTCAAAACGTTATCGTAAAAAAAAAGCCATTGATGCATCTTTTATTGAAACATGATTTATACAATTTTATTTAAAGAAATAATAAAAAAAAAAAATAAATAAATAAAAGGAAACTACGAAATCAATTCTATTGCAATTGTTTACATGTGTTATTTTCTATTATACACTTTTAGGTTATTTAATACGTTACCACACGCGGTGGTAAACGTTCAAACCTTGTTCTTCAGGTCACGTATATGTGGGCCATAAAAAATAATTGCCATTTATTAATATTAAGTTTAATTATTTAAGGAGATATTTGTTTTTATTATAAACAACAAAAAAACGTTATAATATATTGATCAAGTTGTTTGATAATAAACATTTTTTTTTCTAAATTATCTAAAAGTGAAGTTAGTGTCACTTTGAACCTGTAAAAATGAACAAGCACGAATTATGTGCTTTTACGAAATAATCATTAAAATGAACTTTAAGGATTATTCAACACACACACACACACAAACACACACATACACATGTGATCATATGTAAAAAAAAAAAAAGTAAGGTAATGTAATTAACGAAACTACGAAATG